CGGATGTGTGTTGATGTAGTTGGGCAAGGTGATTGCCTATGCTTCGAGGCAGTTGAAGCCTCATGAGGAGAACTACCCGACTCATGATTTGGAGTTGGCTGCTATTGTGTTTGCTTTCAAGATTTGGAGGCATCATCTCTATGGCATGAAGTTTGCTGTGTTCAGTGATCACAAGAGCTTGAAGTATTTGTTCGATCAGAAGGAGCTGAACATGAGACAGAGGAGATAGATCGAGTATCTAAAGGACTACGACTTCAAGTTGCAGTACCATCATGGCAAGGCCAATGTGGTAGCTGATGCTTTAAGTTAGAAATCCATGAGCCTATCCAGTTTAACCATGGGTGATTATGATATCATCGAACAGTTTCAAGATCTGACGGTGACCTCTTTGTTTGGAGGTGCACTTCTCGAAATGGAAACTGTGCAAGTTGAGAACGAGCTCATTGAGAATATCAAAGAGGCGCAAGTGTAGAGAGAGTGCCTAGATTATGTGAAGAACCAAGACGTTGTGTCTTGGAATGAGGATGGACTGTTGACCTTTCAGAAGAGGATTGTGGTTCCTCGAGGTCCTTTGACTGTTGAGGTGATGACAGAGGCTTATAATGGCCATTTTACTGTCCACCCTGGTGCTACAAAGATGTACCAGGATTTGAAGAGAAACTACTGGTGGCCGGGCATGAAGAAGGACATAGTTGTGTTTGTGTCTAAGTGCCTGATTTGCCAGAAGGTGAAGATAGAACACCAGAAGACGTATGGTAAACTTCAACCTCTTGAGATTCCGGAATGGAAATGGGATAGCATTTCCATGGACTTCGTGGTGGGATTGCGGAAGACTCAGGCTGGTTACAACTCTATCTGGGTCATTGTGGACAGATTGACTAAGTCTGCCCACTTTCTTCCGGTGAAGGTGAGCTTCACTACTGAGCAGTTGGCCAGACTATATGTTTGCGAGATTGTGAGACTTCACGAGGTGCCCGAGAGTATCATTAATGATAGGGACCCGAAGTTCACATCTCGGTTCTGGGAGGCGCTGCAGGAGGCTTTTGGTACACAGTTGAGACTGAGTACAGCCTATCACCCTCAGACTAACGGACAGACTGAGCGGACCATCCAGACATTGGAGGACATATTGAGGGCTTGCACTTTGAAGTAGGGTTAAGCATGGGATAGGTACCTGTCATTGGTGGAGTTTTCTTACAACAACAGTTTCCATGCTAGCCTGGGCATGGAACCCTATGAGGCGTTGTATGGTAGGAGGTGTCGGACTCCTACCTGCTGGTCTGAGGTTGGAGATAAGGAGTTGTTTGGCTTGGACTTTGTCCAAGATACCACCCTGCAGATCAAGTTGATCAGGGAAAAGCTGAAGCAGTCGCAGAATCGTCAGAAGAGTTACTATGATGTGCGGCATCGTCCACTGGAATTCAGTGAGGGCGAGCACGTGTTTGTGAGACTTTCACCTGTCACCGGTGTTGGTCGGGCCCTCGGAGTGAGGAAGCTGAGCCCGTGTTTCATTGGACCATACCAGATACGTGGTAGAGTAGGACCTATTGCCTACCGGCTTGTCTTGCCTCCGAACTTGGCCAACATCCACGACGTATTTCACGTGTCTCAGCTTTGCAAATATGTAGCGGATCCTTCGCACGTGGTGCAACTGGATGATGTGGAGGTTCGGGAGAACCTAAAGACTCCCGTCGGACCACTCAAGATTCTCGATCAAGGCGAGAAGCAGCTGAGGAGCAAGATCATTCCGATGATCAAAGTGCAATAGACTGGAAGAACTCCTGAGGAGTGCACTTGGGAGCGAGAGGACGAGCTTCTTCGGCAGTATCCCGACTTCCGAGACAGGTATGTTTCTGATTTTGAGAACAAAATCCTTAAAAAGGTGGGGTGAATGTAATAACTCGCACCGTTAATTAAGGAAATTAATTAAATAAATGTGAGAATCAGGAAATAATTCCATAATTGACCCTAATAATTATGATGAGGCTTAAATAATTATAGTAAGTGATTAATAATGCTGAAATTCGCTTTTCTGACGAAAAGTGCAGATATCGGCTCTACTACTCAGTATAAATGCGTACCGATGAAGTATCCCAGAAAATTATAATAAGTGCATGAATATTTCTAGAATATTATGTAGGACTTGTAAAATAAGTTTCAAGTCAAAATAATGAGAACTGGTGCCCGAACTAATACTGGCTATGGAAAAGCGAGTACCGAAAAGGTGCTGCAAAAAATAAAAGAAAAATATGATAAATCTTAAAAAAATGAGTAGGTTCAGATTCCAAAGTTTGGGATTAAAATGCTAAGCGTAGCTATTAGGGCTAATACTGTGTGATTAAGTTTAAACCGGCTATAAATACTAAGAGGCACATGATCCTAGGTCAATTTTGTGCACCTCTACGTAGCATTTGCTGAAGCCTTGTGACCAGCCACCTTGCCACTCCTTTCCTTCTTCATTTTCTCACCAAAGACACCACCTTTGATCATTGTTTCTTCTCTTGATCAACATATCTTGGTGTGAGCTGCCTTGGGTGGGTGAGAGAACCTTGCTTCTAAGTTGTGAGCACTATTTTGGGAGAGTTGTTGGGCTGATTTTCTTGTTGGGTGTAGTGGGAGCTTTCTCTTGGGTTGTAGAGGCTTCAAGGAGCCATCTTGTGAAGTAAAAGACCCACCTTGATGCCATTTTTGTGTTGTTGTGAAGTCAGTACCTCGGAGGCTGATTCGTGAGCTCCAAGAGCCATTGTTGCTCTATTTTGAGCTTGGGTAAGTGTCACCTACCTTGATCATGAGTTTTAATGGTTAAAAATGGAACCTTGATGCATGTAATGGATTAAAGTTGATAACTTAAGGTTGGGTAAGGTTAAACATACCTAGAAATGCATGTTTAAGCCTCTAAAATCGTGAAAAGAACCACCTTTGGGAAGGATATCTCGCGAAATGCAGAACTGCATTCTGTCACTAAATATCCGGATATGATATCCGGATATTTATATCTGGATATGGGGTCTTGAGATATCCGGATATGCATATCCAGATATGATATCCAGATATGGCCTTGACAAATATCCGGATATTCTGGATTTGCGTGAACAGTAACGGTACTTGTTCATACAGAACTGAGTTATGGGTTTGTGGACCCTAGATTGATGAAGTGGGATTTCTATAATAACTTATCTAAGTCAGAATCTAAGTGATTAAGGGCTTGTGGCTTTGTGAGAAGCCTTAAGACATGAAACGTAAAAGAGAAGTGTTGTCTTATGTTATATGCTTATAAGCTATGGTTGTTGATATGATTGCTGGTCCAAAACAAATTGTGATTGTGCTGTGTGTGGACCTTGAGCTTGTGTGGACTCTTGGCTTGGATAGCTAGCCTGCAAGGTAAGCTTTCGTGTCATCGGCTTAGCCATTGTTTGTTCCACCATGTCCCGTGGGGGGATGGTTATATGCTATAATGCACGGACACTGACACGGGACACGACACGCCGACACGTTAATTCTAAAAAATGTCATATTTTGACACGTTGGGACACGTTTTGATATTAAATAATATTTTTAATATATATAATATAATTTATATTTAATAGATATAACAATCTATAATAAGTCATATAACCAATCAAATATTTAAATTTCATAAATAAATACAAACAAAAATAATTTTTCGTACCTTGTTAATTTTTCATGTCAAATTTCATAACAGAAAAAAATTAATTTATAACTTTTTTTTTATTTTTAGTTTATAAAATAAAATTAAGATTAAAAAAAACGTGTCTGAGCGTGTCCGAGCGTTGACCACGTGTCGTAAAGAGTTGACTGTGTGTCCAAAAAATATGTCGGAGCGTGTCCGAGAGTTGACCACGTGTCCCAAAATATTGACCGCGTGTCGGACGCTTGTCCAAGCGTGTCAGACACGTGTCTGTGTCGTACACGTGTCCGTCTCCAACACGTGTCTGTGTCCGACATGCACAATTCTCCCAAAAACACGAGTCCGTGTTTCACAGGTTATATGCATGTTGTGTTTTCATGTATTGTTTTATTGAAATGCTATTGAGCTGTTAAGTGCAAATGCTATATGATATGTATGTGGTGTTCTCCTAGACAGGACGCCATGGGGTGGTCCTGTGGGCGGGTACAGCATGGGTTGGTACTGTGTGGGTAATAGACGTATTCCTGCACTTCTCTGATCAGTAGAATGGTTATAACACACATGACATGAATATCTACTGCATTGCACTGGTTTTGGAACTGATATTGAATTACTGCTTTTAGATCTTATATTGCATATGTAAGTGAGCTTGGGGTGGAAGATCTTTGAGGACCCCTTGCCTTACTGAGATTTCTTGTTTAGAGATCTCACCCCACGTTTGGGAACGCTTATTTCAGGTTCAGGTAATTTGGGGGCTGATGCCTCTGGCGGCAGGAGGCAGGAGCTTGGCTGAGTATATATGTTGTATGCTGACATGACTGGATATTGGATGTTGTTTATGTTTTCTGTCTTTATATTGATATTTGAGTTGAGACTCTTTTGGGGCTTGTTGCCTTGTTTGGTGAGCATGGGGTTTGTCCATGCCGCTTTGATGTTAGTAACTTTTAGCTTGAGTTGTATAAACTATCAGGGTTGTCCGGTCTACGTGTTGTAGTTCCGTGATTAGAGACATAATTATGTTATTTATTTTATGAGGTATTTCAGTTAGTTGTTGGATTGCAATCACATACAGGCGATATTTTGTAATTGGTTTTTAATAATCAACTTGGCTAAGTATAATGACGACATAATTGAAAGTAAAAAGTTATTCCGCATTTTTAAATTAAGCGTAGCTTAATACGATGACATGTTAACAAACTGGGTTAACACGGGGTGTTACACTCATCGCACACCTTTGGGAGGCCATGCAGGTGTATTGAGGACATTCCTTCAACTCTCTGCTTCCTTCTTTTGGAAAAATATGCGCAAGGAAGTCAAAGATTGTATCACTCAATGCACCATTTGTCAACAGGTGAAAACTTCTACTCAAGCCCCAATGGGTTTGTTAAATCCATTGCCTATTCCAGAAGCTGTTTTTGATGATTTAACCTTGGATTTTATTACAGCCTTGCCAAAGTCACAAGGATTTACCACCATTTTAGTAGTGGTTGATAGACTCACGAAATATGGACATTTTGGTCCATTTCCTGCATCTTACACAGCTTCAACAGTGGCTCAATTGTTTTGTAACATGATTGTGAAACTTCATAGGTTTCCAAGGTCCTTTGTTTCAGATCGTGACCCAATATTCTTGAGCAATTTTTGGAGGAAATTATTTCAATTGAGTGGTACAAAACTCCATGCAACATCAGCTTATCACCCTCAATCGGATGGTCAAACTGAGGTGACCAACCGATATATTGAACAGTACCTTAGAGCTTTTTGCTCAGAAAAAAATCATGCTTGGTCTTCCTATCTTTGCTGGGCAGAATTGCATTATAATACCTCTTTTCACTCTTCAATTAATACATCACCATTTCAGGCATTGTATGGGAGAGCACCAGTGATGTTACCTATGTACCCAAGGGGTTTGATCAAAATAGAAGCCTTAAACACATTACTTCAAAAGCGCAATGAAGTCTTAGCAAGTCTCAAGCTAAACTTGCAACGTGCTCAACATCGAATGAAACTTCAAGCAGATAGGCACCGTTGAGATCATACATTTCAAGTGGGTGATCTAGTCCTAGTTCGTCTTCAACCTTATAGACAACTATCAGTAGCAAGGAGAGCTACTCACAAGCTTGCTAAGAGGTATTTTGGCCCTTTTCCAATTCAGAAGGTTATTATTAGCTCTGTTTCTTATCAGTTAAAGTTACCTGAAGGCAGCCAAATCCATCCTACTTGCCATATTTTAAGCTTGAAACCTTTTCATGGCTCAACAAATCTTAGTGCTTCACCTCTGCCTATAGAGAGCATGGATAACAAACCTGTCCAAGTGCCCATTGCAGTATTGAGTTCCCGCACAGTGGCAATCAGAGGAAGAACTCAGCAGCAAGTTTTGGTCTAATGGTCTCAAACGGTACCTGAAGATGCATCATGGGAATCAGTTGGAGAGCTTAAAAGAGTTTACCCTTCCCTGCACCTTGAGGACAAGGTTGCTTTTGAAGAAGGGGAAGTTGTTACATGTGAGGATAGCAAGCCTATTAGGAAGAGAAAGGAACCTATATGGACTAAAGACTATGTCTTGTAAAGTCAGTGAAAGGTCCAATTAATAGTAGAAAGGATTGTGTACGGTCAGTAGCATAGTCTGATGTATAGTTGATTAATTGAGGTGGGTATTAACCACTATATAATACAATGGGTTGTATGTACAATGGGTATGATGAATAAAGAACTCTTTTTTGTTTTCTGTTAAATCTCTCTCTCTAGTCAGATACAAGTCTGCGTCTTGTATCATATAACTACTTAAACCTGTCACTACTAAATCAAGTTTTTTTAATTAGAATTCTAAAGATTTTGTAACCCAATTATTTCTTCAAAAGTCCAATACGTTACCACATTTATTCTTATAGAAGCATAAGTAATGGGAAATGGATTCTCTCATGTGAAAAAAAAAACATGACATGATAATGTGGGAATATCACAATCATGTAAAGTTAAATCAACGATTATGATTTTGTAACTACCTATTTTAGTATTTTCTCTCTCTTTCTTTCTTTATTATAATTGATCAACCTTTGTATGGTTATAATCCTCCACATGACCATATTATGTTTTTTTCACATGAGAAAATTCAAATCCGAAATAATGACAGAATATTCTTTAGAGAATCAATTTTAAAAGTTAACCTTTAGTTTGGTGATAGACAAAAACCATCACGTTTAACCTTTAGTTTGGCGACAACTTGATCACTAATGCATAGAGAGTCTGCAGATATATGGCAGGATATGCTGCTTGTCTCATATGTCATTCCCTAGCTGAGAACACTGATCATATTTTTAGAGAATGTATTTGGGCTCAAGAGGTGTGGAACATGTGGATAGATAACAGGGGCTTAAACTCCTTTCTAAGAAATGACATGGAATCCTAGATTAGTACGAACTTAAAGAGGGGTAGCTAGAACACTACTTGAAGAATGTATTTTGGAGTAATTTGCTGGTCCATCTGAAAGGACAGGAACAACCTGATTTTTAATGGAAAAAGTGTAACGCCCAGCCACTTGCAAGAATCAATGACTGTCCCCACACACTAATACGAGACTTTTTAGTGTGCTTTGTCCTCACTCGCACACTTCCCGAGAAAACTTTCCAGGAGGTCACCCCTCCCAGAATTGCTCCAAGTTAAGCACGCTTAACTGTGGAGTTCTTCCGATCCGAGCTACCGAAAAGTAGATGCATCTTGTTAGTATAGGTAGTACCAATTAATTCTTATAAGCCATTCCTAACTGTACCGTCCCATACCAGCACAGTCTATGGAATCCCTCTCTTTCGGGTGTTGATTCGATTCATTCATGAACCCCCAAGCTGCAAGATTTGGCATGAGCCGTTCATTGTCCGTGCCCTTTCGCACCGGCGATCACTCCCTGCCCTTGCTAGCTCTTGGGATGTTACATGCCCACCAGCTTCCGCCTGGTTCGTCCTCGAACCACACCGTAATAGAAGAGAAAGCCTACTCTGATACCACTTGTAACGCCTGGCCACTTGCAAGAATCAATGACTGTCCCCACACACTAACACGAGACTTTTCAGTGTGCTTTGTCCTCACTCGCACACGTCCCGGAAAAACTTCCCAGGAGGTCACCCATCCCAGAATTGCTCCAAGTCAAGCACGCTTAACTGTGAAGTTCTTCCGATCCGGGCTACCGAAAAGTAGATGCATCTTGTTAGTATAGGTAGTACCAATTAATTCTTATAAGTCATTCATAACTGTACCGTCCCATACCAGCACAGTCTATGGAATCCCTCTCTTTCGGGTGTTGATTCGATTCATTCATGAACCCCTAAGCTGCAAGATTTGGCATGAGCTGCTCATTGTCCGTGCCCTTTCGCACCGGCGATGACTCCCTGCCTTTGCCAGCTCTTGGGATGTTACATGCCCACCAGCTTCCGCCTGGTTCGTCCTCGAACCACACCGTACTAGAAGAGAGACCCTGCTCTAATACCACTTGTAACGCCTGGCCACTTGCAAGAATCAATGACTGTCCCCACACACTAACACGAGACTTTTCAGTGTGCTTTGTCCTCACTCGCACACTTCCCGGAAAAACTTCCCAGGAGGTCACCCATCCCAGAATTGCTCCAAGTCAAGCACGCTTAACTATGGAGTTCTTCCGATCCGGGCTACCGAAAAGTAGATGCATCTTGTTAGTATAGGTAGTACCAATTAATTCTTATAAGTCATTCCTAACTGTACCGTCCCATACCAGCACAGTCTATGGAATCCCTCTCTTTCGGGTGTTGATTCGATTCATTCATGAACCCCCAAGCTGCAAGATTTGGCATGAGCCGCTCATTGTCCGTGCCTTTTCGCACCGGCGATCACTCCCTGCCCTTGCCAGCTCTTGGGATGTTACAAAAAGTAGTTCTCCCTATGAGATTTTTTCCCAGGTTTCTCTCTTTGTGAACAATATTAAACTGGCTAGTATTTTATCTAGTGCGGGTCTAGCTCTAGAAAATTACAAAGAGATATTGATAAGCTAGAAGCCTCCTCCTCCTGGGTGGATTAAAGTCAATAATGATGGCTCTTGTCGTGTTAATGGTTCTCGACTAACCTGTGTGGGTTTTTTTAGAAATGATTGAGGAGCTTAGATCAAAGGCTTTGCTAGGAAGTTAAGTAATGGAACAATCCTAATGGCCGAGTTGTGGGGATTCATTATAAGTCTGGAATGGGCTTGGGATCAGGGACTGAGACAGATCATTTTGGAAGGAGACTCTATGATGGCAATTCAGCTAGTGGAAGAGGGTTGTGTTAGCTCACATCCCTATTATGAGTTTGTGAATAGAATCAGAATGTTAATTTCTAAACAATGGATGGTGGTGTTGGGTCATGTCTATAGAGAGGGAAACCAAGTGGCTGACTGGGTGGCCTCTCATGCTGCTCCTCCTGATTGGAATACCCTCTGGTATGATAATGCTCCTGCAGGGTGTACGACTTTAGTATCTGATGATGCAATAAGTAATGAGGTGCCTAGATGTGTTAGTGTGTAGTTGTTGTTCTTTCTTTTTCCTCTGTTTCCAAAAAAAAAAAGTTAATAATTGCATTAAATGGAAATTATTAAATATCCTTAATGCGGAAAAGGTAAGATTTGGAACACAAAATGAATTTTCTAGCATTTGATATTTAATTAGCCATTATATTTGTTTAAAACAGAAACAAAAAATTTCCTTGAATGGAAAGTCTAAAATTTTGGTGGGAGATTTTATTTCTAACCATATGACATGATTTTATATGGTCAACATACCACTTGTACAAAATGCCATTTGGTAACACCTTACAGGGTGTTTGGTAGGGGGAATAATTTTGAAAATCCAGGAAAGTTGGGATGGATTTTTAAGAAGTCCTTCTTTGGTACAGTATTTGAGAAAATAATCCTGGAGAAGTGAGGATGCCTTGGATTCCTTTTTGTGTGTAAATTGTGATTAGAATACCACTGAAAAATGCAACCTAGATAGTGGTATTCTCACCTTTCCTGGGAGATGGAAAAGTAACCGCAAAATTTGTGACAAAATAACTCTGATTCGTGTACTTGCTTTCTGCTTTTCGTGTACTTGTTTTCTGAAGGAGACGACCTGAAGAAATTGGATTTGAGAAAGACAACGCTCCGAGACCTGAAAAAATAGCCTCATCACTCTTCGAAAAATGGTGGACAGCTGCTCCGTCAGCTTAGCTGCTCCAAAAAATTGTCACAGCTGTTCCTTTTGCATGTCCAAACAGCCTGTGGAAATGATTTTTGTTTTGTTTTTGTGAGGGGTATATGTTAATTAAATCAAATTGTTCGACTTGTGAGTATAGTTTCTGAACGAATATTTGTTGTTAGACTTTGATCGGTGACAGATAGAGAACGAGGAGGGGGAATGAACGATGGGTCTTGATAATAGGTACTAGGCTGAAAAAACTAAAACGGCACTGCAGTTGTATTCAAATAAAAAAATAACTCTCTAATATTTTACTGAATAAACAAAATGAATTACAAGGGTTAGTTTAGTAAATTCACCACATATTCCCAGCAATATTTTAACATTAATCAAATATAGATTTAAGAAAATTAAGCTAATATTTTCTATAATATTTTAACCTACCAAACAATTTCTAGTTAATATTCTCATAAAACTCAATCTTCCATCATATTTTTGAATATCGTCATTTTTCTGCCAAACGCCCCGTACAATGTGAAGTCTCTTATATTGTAACTACCTACTACCGTAAGTAAAAGAGATCCCGTGCACAGAACGCTCTCATGTGACGCGTCTCCAATTCAAAGTTTTAAGAAAAGAAAGAGAATTTGACCATTTGAATTTGGTATTATGCCGTGTCAATGAGGCAGTGTCATAGCATCTTCGGTAAGCAAGGGGGAAATTCGAAAGATAAAGATAAAAAAAATAAAGAAAAGGAAAACTCTACCTAACTCTTCAAATCTGTAGGAAGGTAATGTTACCACAAGATCCTTTGTACAATGAGAAAAATGTAGGCATAAACTGCCAAACTATTCTAACGTAGGCATAGACGACCAAACTAATCTGTCAATTGCACTTTTCTTTTGTATGTGTATGTGTGGCAGGTGAACATAAATTGTAGGAAATTGGAAAGGGCAAAAAAAAAAAAAAAAAAAAAAAAAGGCCCAAATTACTTTTGGGACCACTTCAATTAAAAGAAGATTTTCTGAACGAAATTGTGTCCTTCACCTTCTCCTTGTCCTTGTCCTCCTTGATCTCCAAATAATTGCTGACGGGTTTGGGCAGATTCGGTATGGAATTTTTGTTGGAGGGGTAGGAAAGACTCTGCAATTCAATTCTAACACTGAGTTATTAGAAGCTGTGTTAAAAAACCTTAATTGTGGGTTTGTGCCTCTCATTATGCTCTTAATTAATTGCTTCATTTATATCTACTCAAAATTTATGAAAGAAAGCCACTTTAATGAAAACAAACAAAGATACACTATAAACAGGCTTTTACTTAAATAGCATATGGAAACAATGTAGGCTTCTAATAATATATAAACTCCAAATTCCTAATCTCAAGTAAAGAATGTAACATGCGGAGAAATTGTTGATGGTGAGATAGATTGTCATGAAACTTACTCTAATCTAGAAATATCAATCTGTGAAAAGTCCATGTTGGTTGAACTGTCAAGTACAGCTAATGCAGATATCATGGGCCTAGGTGTTGACACATGAGGCTGCTTGATCGCCAGTACTCTGCAGTTGAAGTTGCTGGCTATGCTGTTATGGGAATGGGCCATTGCGAATCTGTTACAAATGAATAAAAACACAGCTTTGAGTTGTATGATTTCTCCTAGTAGTACTACAAAGTTGCACAGGTAAAAAAATATATATAAGAAACAAACAGAAAATCAATGCATTTGGTATCTGATCAAGACACAAAATACAATGAATACGTGTCAAATGCAATTAAATGGTTCTGTAAGCATTTGGTAGAGCCACCACATCAATTCTTTGAGCCATATATAGATATGGTAGTATTGGAGCTTCCTTCTTTAGAACTCTTTTGTGTGGCAGTAACTAATAGGAAATATATATTAATAAAATATTTATGAGATAAACTTATTTCAAGTTATTTTTTTATTTATATATTATGGCTAGTATATAGTTATAATGTTACAGTTTATTTTCTTTTTTTCCACGTCGTCATTACACAAGTTCTGAAAAGTGACTGAGCAAAGAAAAAAAAACAACTTTAACATTATAACTATGTACTATCCATAATTCTCAAGTGCCTAGAAAAATATTAACCTGATATATATATATATATATATATATATATATATATATATATATATACACTACTAGAAAAAACCTGTATAGCGACGGAATTGTTATGGAAATTCCGTCACTAATTTCATCCTCGCTACTACTTTCCGTCACAAATTCCCTCGCAAAATCATTTGCGAGGGAATTTGCGATGGAAAATAATAGCGATGATGAAATTAACGACGGAATTTCCATAGCAATTCCGTCATTATACAAGTTTTTTCTGGTAGTGATATATATATATTACATGAAGATTGGACAATTAATAAATTCAGGTCCCACTAACCCATGAAAATGTTGTCAAATAATGAAGGTCAGGATCAGCCAGATTGCTGAGTAAGATGTAATTAAAGTGAAATCCCCAGAACCCATCAGACAGAAGCTGACCTCTAATCAGAACCTTACCTTTCTGTTTTCCCCAAATACATATCCAAAGAACACTATTTTTCAGGTGTTCATTGATCATCCACATCAAGATGACAATGACAAGAGAGAAATCCAACTTGAATTTTGTCTCAAAAAGCAATGAATTCTGAGGAGAGGATCATCATCATTCATCACATGACCTTCCGATAACAACTACCAACATTCATAGGCATTATTAATAATTCCAATATTCATCTACTCAAGAAATTGACCTCAAAACTCAAAATATTTTCACATTGGACTTACTTGTAAAGAAAACTATGATCGTGAAGTCCAACCACAAGCACTGAAGCTCCAATCTCTCGCACCGTAGCAGCAATCTTGGTTCCTTCTTGGTCCCCTTCCGTGACAATAATCTCAACCTTTGCCTGTAACACAATCCTAAGATTATGGCACATATCCGTTAATTCTAACATAATAATAATAAATGAAAGAGAACAAAAAGAAAAACAAGAAATGAAGTTAACTACGTTGGGGTAGTTGTTGCAGATGTCTTGAAAGGAAAGAGCTAACTTAAAGCCATTGAGGCGAAGAAGACGAGCTTTGTTTCTGCTTCTTGATCTTGTGGAATGGTAGACATGGAGAAGGGTGATGATGTCACCATAGCGTATGATATTTTGAAGAGCCCATTGTAGAGCAGTTCTAGCTGCATCTACATCTTCTACCACAACCACAATTTTCTTCACATCCATTTTTTTTTTTTTCTTTCTCTCTCTCTCTCCTCTGCTCTTCATTTATATATATCATTAACTTAGCCAAAGTTGTCTCTCTCTGATGGTTTCTGCCCCATTCTTTAGGCTTTATTTCAATGTTGATTGACTCTGTCTTTAATAGCCCACAACCTCATATGACGCAGAAATTCTTCCTTGCTCTCTGCTACCTCATGTGGCAGGTCAGCTCCTATATATATTAAATCAAAAAAGAAAAGAAAAGAAAGTGGTTGAATAATATTTATTGAGTTACAGTTTCACAAGCTGAGAGATCAAATTCATGTCCATACAGATAGAAGTTTGCTAGGTGCTTCATGCTATCTCTAAGGCGATTCATAATAATTCATTTAAATTCCATGTTCTTTCGTATAAAAAAATAAAATAAAATAAAAAAAACCATTATTCTCTTATGAATCTTGTGACCCGCAATGAAATTTTTTTTTTTTTAATTTATTCACCATTGATTACTCGACTAATTCAGTTGAGTATGGTAGAATTACAAAAATGACAAATCTCTTCTTAAATTTTTTTGACACAATTGCATATTTAGAATTTAAATTTGAGATTTCTGATTATGCTGAAATATCACGTATTAATTGATCTGTGTTTGGTAATACTGAAATTCTCTTTTGATAGATATAATTTTTTTTAAAAAATTATATATAATGATATACTTAAAAAAAATAATGAAAGAAAATTAAGACTGTATATTATTCACTGATTCTTCTAACTTGAAAATTGAATCGACTGATCTATTTTCAAATTTTTATTACTAAAATATTCTCAACTTCACCTTCCTTATATAAATTTAACGATATTAGGACGTGGAAGTAGGTGGGTTTTATTATTAATAAGTAATAATCATAAGCAGCATTGGGATCAAGTATGCGCTCAGAATGAATTATACTAGATCAAGGATTATGCATGTGACGTGTAGTTGTTTGGCACATGCCATTAAAAACGGTTGTGTCGGAGTTTGCTTCGTCTTTTAAAATTAAAAAATGTACGTAAAATCATAATAATAAGTAGGGAAAACATTTTCTCATGTTGCACGAGAATTCAATTCTCATATTGTGACTCTTCGATTTGCGTACAAAGCTTTTCTTTTCTTTTTCTCTTTTTAATATATGTGAGGCTCACTATTAGTTGTGTCACAACATAAGAATTGAATTCTCATGCAACATGAGAAAATCAAATCCCTAATAAGTATGGTCAAACAGATTGCTAAATGCTGATTAAAGTAAAACCGATCTGTATTGTTTAAAACAAAATAAGTTCTTAGTATCTAAATAAATTTGCAAAAAGCAATTTGGAAATAAAATTATTTTGTGACTCTTAGTCTCTTACGATATGTATTTTCATAGTATTTTTTAAAAAAAAAAAATGTATAACATACTGAAAAAGAAAAAAGAAAAAAAAGCCAACTACAACGTTGATAACTATTAATTAAGAGGTTCACAAATTAAATTTTGATAAGATGTAACCATACATATTAAATTCTTAAATTTATAAAAAGCTTCTTCTTTAAGTTCTGTTAATATTATTACTTATTCGCACTTTATTTTTCAAAGGGACATTTAACTTTTTTTTAAGTCTATATATAATTAATGTGCTTCAAATATTTAAGTAAATAAAATTCGTATATCTCCAATTAACTTGAACAATTTGTGGGCAATATATTTATTTGGCATCCAATAAAATAATAATTGATTTTGCAAAATTAGTCATCTTTAAAAAAGTTAATAATTTTTTTAACATTTTGAATTGGACTCTTCACTCTGTGGGAAAAAAAATCTTAGCAAACTCACTAAAATTAGTCTAATAATAAGGAGTTTGAGTAATTTGCACGAGGTTAGAGGTTCAAACTTGTATAAAAAAAAACCTTAGTAGAATTATTAATTTTCGTTGGTAATAGCAATGAGACTTATTAATCTCATGTTGTTTGATACATCTTGTCTCATGTCATAGAGATAAATATGTGACTTATAAAAGGTGGGCCAACATATTTATCTCTATGACATAAGACAAGATGTCTCCAATAACATGAGAAAATATTTTTCTAATAACAATTGACTAGCAATGTTTATGAAAGAGACAATTGCATGTGGTGGTAAATTATTGTGCATGGATAAGAGGCTAATTAAAAGTCAAAGGAAGTATGTGTTCGCACAATGACAATAATAAGGATTAGGGTTCAAGAGAGTATATTTTTTAATCTTAATCAGTTATTTACAGAGAGGTTTTTTGTTTCTTTTATTAGTGTATTTATAGAGAGGTTTTACCTAAAGTAAGATTCATTTTGCCTAGCTGGACATGAGGCCTATAACATGGGTCCAGAACAATACCTATAAGATCTATACTCTTCAACTCTCTGTAATATTATTTATTTGATGATTTTTTAAATATAAAAAATATTTATTTGTGTTATTTATTTAATTTTTGTACATCTTTTGGAGGTGTTAATCCTTAATTTACGATGGAAAAGCTATCATTATTTACAACTGTGACAAGTTTAAATATTAATGGTTTAAAATTTGCTTAAGGGAAGAGTTCAAAAACTCTCCTACGATTTTGGTTTCAATCACTTAAACCCTTTTTTTTAAATCACTTATCTCCTATGGTTATTTCCAACCAAACTCATCCTCAACACAGTTAGAAACTAAATTAATCTACCTATTTTACCCTTGTAAGAAGAAGAGAATAAACTAAGGAAAATAAAATAAAATAAAAGAAGAAATAAAATTAAATGTCAAAAACTTACACTACTTATAGAAAAAAAAGGTAATAGTTTTCTCCTGTTGACACAATATATAGGTGGATCCCACTTTAAAGAGGAATGAGAAAAAAATCAAAGTGAGATCCACCTATATATATTTTGTCAATTAGAGACAAATTTCTTATCTTGTGACAGGAGAGAAAAAATTAAAAATTAAAAATAGATGAAAAAATATGACTAAATATATTGAAAACTTATAACAATAGGAAAGACTAAAATTAAAATAATCTAAATCAAAAAGAAGAAAATAGATTAAAAAAGAGAAAAATAAAAATAGAAAAAAAAGACCAAATATGTCTAAATAAAAAAAAGAAAATAGAGAGAGGACAAAAAAGTAAAAAAAAAAAAAATCAAATATGTCGCAAACTTACAACACTTACTCAAAAGACTAAAATAAAAAAATTAAAATAATGTAAATCAAAAAGAAAAAATAAACTAAAGATAAAAAAGAAATAGAAGAAAAAGTAAGCAAAAAATAAATAGAAGTAAAAAAATTACCGTTGTAAGTTTTCAACATATTTATTTTTATTTTTTTATCTTCAATCTATTTTATTCTTTTTAGTTTACATATGTTTGATCTTTTTTTCACTTTTAGTCTTTTTATCACTATTAAAAGAAATGGAGGAAAAAATAAGACAAAAAAAGAAATAAAAGAATAAGAAATCGATATTATAAATTTTTAACATATTTAGTCTTATTTTATTTTCTATTTTTTGTCCTAAATCTATTTTATGATTTTTTATTTATGGTCTTATTTTTTCTTCTATTTCATTTTTTTGCCTTCAGTCTATTTTTTTATTTAGATTTTTTTTTACTTTTAGCCTTTTATGTTACTATTTTAAGTTTTAAGTATATTTGATCTTCTTTTTTGTCTCCTTGGTATTTTTTTTATTTAGACATATTTAATTTTTTTCTTCTATTTTTTTTTCATCTTTTCTTTAAATGTTATAAGTTTCTAATATATTTGGTCGTATTTTATTTTTATTTTATCTGCAATCTATTTTCTTTTTCTAATAATAGTAAAATAGACGGAACAGTGACCATTGTGCCACTGTTCATCATAAAATTTACCAGAATGTCACGCGCACAGTAAAAATTGCCAAACTGCCACGCAGGCTAATTCGCTACACATGTACAGTGTAGCGAATTAGGCCTGATGATCTGTCACCTCCCCACTGGTCCACGTATTTCCCTACACAGTGTAGCGAAATACGTGGTCAAAAGGTCAGCCTGGTCAGTGACCTTTCGGACACGTGTCAAGCCACTCATATTTCGCTACACTGTGTAGCGAAATACGTGGCAACGGTCACCTGCTGCTCTGCGCATGTCAGACACGTGGCAGCTTTGCACTAATTCGCTACCCATGGTAGCGAATTATGTGCAAGTTTTTTCCTATATAAATCCCACGGTCCCTACCCCTCCCCCACCATTTCCTCTCATCCTCTCCCTCACTCCCTCTCTCTCTGAGTGTTTTCTCTCTCTACAAGGTTAGTATCTTTTTTTATTGCTTTTATAATATGTTTGTTTCATTAATTATGTTTTTATAAATGTGTTATATTATTTTTATATTTATACTTGAAACAATAGATTAGTAAATATGTTATATTATTTAGTGTTTAGGCTTGAAACTTTAGGTTAGTAAATATGTTATAGTATTTAGTGTTGATACTTGAAACTTTAGGTTAGTGAATAATACTTGAAACTTTAGGTTAGTGAATGTGGTATATTATTTAATGTTGATATTTCCAACCTTAGGCTAGTAAATGTGATAATTTTAAATCATGCATAAATGATTAGGTATAATTTATTTAATTTATTATTTAAGCTTTAATACATGTGTAATGTTATTTAATTCTGGTTTTTGATACCTTAGGCTAGTAAAATGTGTTAATTAATTCCACGCTATAATGCTTAGGCTAATATAAATAATTTTTTATTTATGCTGTAATATTTTGTGAATATTATTTAATGTTGGTATTTGAAACGTTAGGTTAATAAATGTGTAAATTTATTTTACGCATGAATTAATGATTAGGTCTACATAATAAAAAATTTAATTAATTTATAAACGTTAATAATTTATAAATTTAGATTTAGGGTTTAGGGTTTTGAAACCTTAGGCTAGTAAAATGTGTTAATATTATTTAATGTTGGTATTTGAGCCATTAGGTTAATAAATATGTTAATTTATTTTACGCATAAATGA